TTTTTCGTTTGATACTTCTTCTGAAATATTCGTTGAAAAAAAAATGGGGGAAAAATAATCATAAACAGCAAAACTGAAAAAGTTCATGGGTTGGGAGGTAAATAACGAGCTACGAGTAAAATAAATTTATTATAAAAACAACAAATCGATTTAAATAAGTTCCTAGTGAGTATAAAAAGATTTTTAAAAAAAGTACTCACGTGCCGCCCATGATACACAGAGAACGAAGAGAGTTCTTCTTCTGCCTGCACAAAGTCAGTCGATGAAGCTTGATATGAACAGCATATACAAAAACGTAAATGTTTAGTCGACCGAGCTTTAGGCAGTACCGTAAACGATTCTTCGGAACATTGCAAAACAGAACCTGGGTTGTTCAACCCTGGTTGTTCAACTCTAGTTGTTCAATCTAGGTTGTTAAACCTTTGTTGTTCAACCCTGGTTGTTCAACCTGGGTTGTTCAACCCTTGTTGTTCAACCCTTGTTGTTCAACCCTAGTTGTTCAACCCGGCTTGTTCAACCCAGGTTGTTCAACCCTAGTTGTTCAACCTGGGTTGTTCAACCCTAGTTGTTCAACCCTGATTGTTCAACCTTGGTTGTTCAACCCTGGTAGTTCAATCCTGGTTGTTCAACCTGGGTTGTTCAATCCTGGTTGTTCAACCCGGGTTGTTCAACCCTGGTTGTTCAACCCTGGTTGTTCAACCCTGGTAGTTCAACCCTAGTTGTTCAACCCTAGTTGTTCAACCTGGGTTGTTCAACCCTAGTTGTTCAACCCTAGTTGTTCAACCCTGGTAGTTCAACCCTGGTTGTTCAACCCGGGTTTTTCAACCCTAGTTGTTCAACCCGGGTTGTTCAACCCTAGTTGTTCAACCTGGGTTGTTCAACCCTAGTTGTTCAACCCGGGTTGTTCAACCCTGGTTGTTCAACTCTAGTTGTTCAATCTAGGTTGTTAAACCCTTGTTGTTCAACCTGGGTTGTTCAACCCTTGTTGTTCAACCCTAGTTGTTCAACCCGGCTTGTTCAACCCAGGTTGTTCAACCCTAGTTGTTCAACCTGGGTTGTTCAACCCTAGTTGTTCAACCCTAGTTGTTCAACCTGGGTAGTTCAACCCTGGTAGTTCAACCCTGGTTGTTCAACCTTGGTTGTTAATCATCGATTTGCTGTTTGAGTAATAAATTTATTTTATTCGTAACTCCTTATTTAGCTTCAATGCACTTTTTTAGATTCGACGTTTATGATTTTTTTTTTTTTTTTTTTTGGCTGTTTTTTCATCCGACGATTTTTTTTTAATAAATAGTTTCTTTGAAAGAAAGAGAATGCGTGCCGTCATTTTTAAAACAATATATAAATTCTGTGGCATATTTTGCTTAAAAATATTTGTACAGGGTGATTGAAAACTAACTCCTCATTTTATGTTTGATGGAATCTCCTATCAAACTATAATTTTTACAAGACAGAAGAGTCCATCATACATAAAATAGTGAGTAATTTTTCGATCATTCTGGATATTTTGTTCAGACACTTACAAACACACACGCACACTCTCACACACACACAGAAACACACGCATACACATATAATAGCCGGCCATTCGTATTCAAAGATACCCGTCTACTAGGGCGGCTAGCAAATCCCTATTGCAGACCCTGGCTCAGGCACATTTGTGTTTGTTCAACACCGACAGATCCTACTTGTGGTTTATACTGCAACTATGCTGAGCAGACCTTAGTTACAGTTTCTGGGAGAGAGCGTGTTATCTAGAATGATCAACAATCTAAACAGCACCAGCACACTCAAACTCTCGGTCACGATGACTTGTGACTTCGTGCTAGAACAGTTAACGACGGCCCCCAAGAGTTCCGTCTGCTCAATTTCACTCACAAGGCTTGGGTCAACCCGTGGTATTGCTTTCAGGCCTTTCCAAAGGTGCTGCACGCTGGGATATATATATCTATATCTATGAAGAAAAATATACAGAAAAAAACAAACAAAAATCTTAAGATGCAATTATGCTGTATTATTGTTAATATAAAGTCAACGTCGGACCTTTCGGTCTATTTTAGACCATCTTCAGGACATTTTCATTAAACATAATTAACATTAGAACATATATGTTCTAATGTTAATTATTGTTTTTTCTGTATATTTTTCTTCATACTGTCGGATCTATATTCATATATTTGCTTACATTATCATCTATCTATCTATCTATATATATATATATATATATATATATATATATATATATATATATATATATGTTATCAATCTCTTTATTAGAGCTTCATCAGAGAATGAGATATGGAGAAAAAAGAAGAAATAAATGATACTATTTTTCTTTTTGTGTTGTTTGATTTTCATTGTTCAACCCTTTGAGTGCTGACCATCGCTTTACCGTTGGTAGAGAAGATGACGTAATGACAAGCCTCCGGTTGAACGTCATGTAAACACTTGTAACTATTTTTATATCTATCGCGAAACATCACATACCAAGTATTTGCGAATTTCAATTCAGAAGCTTAGGCATAAGGGTCAGAATTGTTCAGGAACGCAGGGCTCAAAAGATTAATCAGGTTTCAAAAGCATTCGGCTTGCTGAACAGACATTGGTATAATTTATCGTGTCCCGAATTCTGTCATCACTCCTTGAATTTGGAACGCCATAAATTAATCTAACGTTTGTTTAACAAGTCGAATGCACGTAAAAGAACCCCAAAATAAAAACACAATGGAACCGAAACTACTTTTCCAATAGGAATCAATGTAGAGAAAAAAAAGTCACAGTACAATAAAATTGGAAAAGAAAAGCACAGCACAACTCACGAATATATACAAGATGGCGGTCGACTCAGAAATTATTCCGTTCGGGTTAACTCGGTTCGACCATGTTGTTCGAGAACCGAAATTTTGTTCGATAATCGAGACATTTTCATCTCCAATTTTCTGTTCGAAAACCGATGTGTTCGAGAAACGTTCGAGAACCGAGGTTGCACTGCATATATTTTTTAATCAGTGTCACCCCGAGCAAGGCAATACAGCCACTAAGACGCAAGGGGTTACAAGGTGTGGAGGAATTAGGAACAGAAATATTAGTAATGAGGAGAAAGAGAAAAGAGCAATCAGGAGGACAGGAGATAGAGATTAACACTGCATTTACATTTTTGCAGATCAAAGTTGGCTGCAAAACATGGAATAGAAAGGGAGTTCCCCAAGCAAGAAGTTGATGTAGAAGAGATGATGGCGTAAGTGAAAGGGGAAGGAAAGACATGATCGTCTCTTTGTTTGGAAAAGGGAAGGAAAGACATGATCGTCTCTTTATTTCTAAGAATAGTATAGATCGTTGATTTTGCCATATGAAACTGAGTAGGAAGAGACAATATCATCATCAAAGAGACAATATCACCAACAATTGTTTTTCTTTTAAATTTTCTTTTTCTTTTACCAGTATCAATGCTAGATTTCTTTGGGGCCATGACTGATGACTAATGAAGAGAAAAAAAAATAAAGGACACAGCAGAATAAAATTAGAAAAGAAAAGCACAACACAACACACGAATATATACAACATGGCGGTTGACTCAAAACTGATACCGTACTGGATAACTCGGTTCGACAACCGAAAATTTGTTCGATAACAGAGGCATTTTCTGTTCGAAAACCGATTCGTTCGACATGTGAGACGTTCGACAACCGAGGTTTCTTTCTTCTTGCAACAACTTTTATTCTGACTACAATGACACGCACGATTCATTATCACGGTAGAAGAGGAATCATTTAAAATGGCTAATATTTTAGAAGAAAGCGCTCGGAATCAACAAACTATTGGACAGTTTTTTACAGTAGAACTTTTAGAAAAGAAAAACACCCTGGTCTCACTCGCCATTGAGACGGGATATGACACAAGGTCGGGTTTAACGTGGGGAACCCGAGCGCTTACACCCCGACCAAAAATTGTCCAGCACCTGCAACCGTCGATTACGCTGGTATCGGTATGACTACACATCACCACCACCTCGTCTTTAGAAGGAAAAAAAACTTGTATGCATATAAGAATAATATAATACAACTTTTAGAAAAAGTACCTTGTCAGTAAAAAAGAGGGTTTGCTACCTGTCAAACCCCGCCACCCACACACACACACACACACACACACACACACACACACACACACATATATATATATATATATATATATATATATATTCATGAATTATTCATACAAAAACAAATACAAAGGTTAATGATTTAAATGATGAGCGTGCAGAAAATTTACCAGTAAAAAAGAATTCGCTTATCACCATATTTGTACAAGAACGCACAATTGTAAAATTTAAAATCAAACTCAGCGTTGATACTGCACGCTCCCAAAACAATAACTCATTTCTAATAGCATTTTTCGGATACAACAATACATATATTTTCGTTGTCCTCTTATTACTGAGAGAAAAAACAAGAACAACATCTATTCCATACCTGAAGATGTCTGTAGGAACAGACAAAAGCTTGTAGTAAAAATAAGAACTAATGCAACAGAAATTTATAAAAACAAGGATCTTTTCATTCATAACAGGTTCGGGGTTTTTGTATGTTACTTGAATTGTTCGCGACGATGGATTTCTCGCCAATTAAATCATTAACCTTTGTATTTGTTTTTGTATGAATAATTCATGAATCTGTAAATTGATTGCACCTTTATTGAAATATATATATATATATATATATATATATATATATATATATATATAATTGATACAAATAAAAGGTTTGTCACTTAGCTGATTGATGTTACCTTCAGCATTCCCACTCCAGAGTTTCGTAGATGGGCCATCCAGGAATCACTCCGTCCACTCGTCATTAACTTTTTGCGTCTTAGTTACTTTATTACCTTAGGTTAAAATGATTTTTTTAAAAAAAAAACTGCTTTTCGTTGATTATACCCTGCTAAGTCATTTTTCAAAATAAAATCAATGATCCGAATTATTGCTTCAAAGTTAGTAAGAGGGTTAGCGGCCATATCACGCTTAAAACACCTGTACGATCACCGATGTCAAGCAACGTCCAGCCTGATCAGTACCTAGATGGGTGACCACTTGAGAATACCAGAGGCTGAAGCTTGGATGTGCGGGTGGTGTAATGGATAACGACTCGGAAGTGAAAATCAGAGAACCGAGTTCCAATTCAAGTTGGCGCTGTTATGTTGCGCGCAAATACCTTTGGGACAAGTATGAATCTACCGTTCCCCAGGCTATAGGTTAATTAATAGAACTTGTATCAGTAAAAATCATTATCTCCAAAAACTTCTTACAATCTGTGAATAATTCAGAGCTTTAAATAACCGGCCAAAGGTTGATAAACCGTAAAAAAATATCAAGTTATGAGTTTTATAAAATACGAACCTTTTTGAAACAATGATCATCCGCGCAACTTGCGTCGTTACAGGATTTTCCCATATCTGGGACACATGGTCCAGTGGGTAAAGGCGTTGGTTAGATCCAGGGACTGTACCCAAAGAAGTGAGTTCGATATCAGGTTAGAGCAGTGGTGAACCAAAAAATTGGAGAGTTGAGTTAAAGGGAAACAATTTAAACATCCGCAAGAGGCATGGCACGTAGAACTAGAACAATCTTCCCCGGTGGACGAAATTCGGTTCGAAATTCCAATCGCCTGAAGAAGTCCGGAGCGAAGAACGGCCGAAACGTTGTGAATATTGCAATGAAGATGAGGACAACTCCCCGAATAATGCAAATAATCTCATTAATCCTAATCCCTCATTTCAGGGATATTGACAAGCATATTATTTTAAATTTTCCCACGGACACATTGTTGACATGCACAGTGTCGAAAGTCGAAATATTGACTGCATGCGACATTCGGTTTAACTAATTAAACAACTTCTTCATTTAGGGCAGTTGCTTTTTTTTTAATCATTTCACCCCAAGCAAGGCGATGATGAGACGAAAACGCAGGGGCGGGGTTCAGGAGCGGAGGTGAATTTGAAGACATTATTGAAGAGTAATGAGGAAAATGACAATAAAGGAACATGATTCAGTTAGACAGACAACGATGCTAGACGTTGCATTTATATTTTTGAAGATTGTAAGCGTCAGGGGAGCAATAAGTCGAAAATGGGTTCCACAGGCGAGAAGTGCGAAAAGACAGAAACCTGTAGAATAGAAGTGACAGTTGCATCTAGCTGGTTTGACAGTAAAACGGTGAGACCTAGCTGCCAATCGAGTACCACGCTTACATTTTATATAGTCGAGACATTAAGGAAAAAAAGGCCATCGGCACAGTTGCCATGAAAATATTTGTAGAAAAGACAGAGGGAAGTCACGTCACATCGGTAAGATTATATTACAGACCTTGTTTTGAATTTTGTCAAGAGTCACGTGATATACATAAGGAGTACCAGACAGGATATAACAGCAGTATAAATGTGCAAGATGGCTTGTTATGTTTTCTAAAATGTACAATTCATTATAACCTCAGATAACTCGAATGATTAAAAAAAAATAAATGAGTAGGCCCTTCCATATTATCAAATTGGCACCACACGTCTTTTTTATTACTTAAACGTTACATTTAGTGGATACACGTCTTTGACCAGACATCAATATCAGTGCATTCTAGAGTCACGTGAGAATGGTCAGGCTGGTTTGAGAATTCAGAGCTTTCATTATCCTGGACTGGCCGCCACACATGGTGAAGTAGTTGATTCTTTATTTACTTAAACGAGTAGGCTATTTTGCCGGTCCCTGTAAAATAGACACCAAGACTATCTTTTCGGTATTGGTAAAATAGATACTAAGGCTATTGTGTTGGTCCCGGTTAAATAGACACCAAGGCCATTTTGTTGGTCCCGTTAAAAAAAAAAAAAAAAAAAAAACAAGGTTATTTTGCTGGTCCCGGTAAATTAGACACGAAGGCTATTTTGCCGGTCCCTGTGAAATAGACACCAAGGCTATTTTGCTGGTCCTGGTAAAACAGGCACCAAGAGTATTTTGCTGGTTCCGGTAAAACAGACACCAAGACTATTTTGCTGGTCCCGGTAAAACAGACACCAAGAATATTTTGCCGGTACGTGTAAAATAGATACAAAGATTATTTTGCTGATCCTGGTAAAACAGACAACAAAATTATTTTGCTGGTCCAGGTAAAACAGGCACCAAGATTATTTTGCTTGTCCCGGTAAAACAGATACCAAGACTATTTTGCCGGTACCGGTAAAATAAGATACCAAGGCTATTTTGCTAGTCCCGATAAAATAGACACCAAGGCAATTTTACTGGTAAATCTAAATAGTGTTTTAGAACTAAGAATATATTATATTTGAGATCGTCAGCGCAGTGATTGTGTAACCATTGTAGACAAGATTTGAAAAACATGGATTCTATGGACTGGGACTATTGTCTTCAGTGGGTGCACCTGAAGGGTATTGGCAAGAGAACCATGTGCAAAGGGCAAGTTTAGGATTTGCAAAGACTTTTGTACCACAAGTGCTTAAAATATTCAGATACTTATTTATTTCTTTTAATAATTGGTGAGGAATAAATGATTTTAACTTGTGTTTGATCAATTAATGGAAGAAAAAAAATTTAAATTGTCTTAACAATTAATGGTGAAAATAAATAAATTCCCGTGTTAAATCTGTGTGTTGTTATTTTTAACATTATCTGCCTTCCTAATAATAAATAAATAAAATATTTACCAGCAAAATAACCTGGGGGTGCTATTTTACCGAAACCGGTAAAAGAAGCGTAAAAACATGTTTGTCTATTGTACCGTGACCAGCAAAATAGTCTCTTCCTTACCCGAAGGCATTTGTGCAAAAGAGGACGCCACTGACTAGGCCGGAGTTTGAACTCGGCTTGCTTCGTTATCCCTTACACCACCCGCACAACCTAATTGATTCAGACACATGCACGCGCGCGCGCACACACACACACACACACACACACACACAGAGAGAGAGAGAAACACACGCATACAGATATAATAGCTGTCTACTCGTATTCAAGGATACCTGTCTACTAGGGTGGCTAGCAAATCCCTATTGCAGACCCTGGCTCAGGCACATTTGTGTTTGTTCAACACGCACAGATCCTATTTGTCGTTTATACTGCAACCATGCTGAGCAGACCTGTGTTACAGTTTCTGGGAGAGAGCGTGTTATCTAGAATGATCAACAATCTAAACAGCACCAGCACACTCAAACTCTCGGTCACGATGACTTGTGACTTCGTGCTAGCACAGTTAAATCTCTGTACTTCTAAATACATGCCTTCATTCAACACTTTTTTATGTTCTTTCTATTTACTTTTTGTACAGGGAATAAAATCCTCTGTTGTTAAATGTACGCCAGAAAAAAAAAAACTTCAAGCGCTTTACCTATCAACTAATTTGACCATTCCTCCTATCGACACGAATATAGCCTTTCAACAATCGGTAATCCTGCTAAAGCTATCTTTTGGGGATTCATTTATATTAGGTTGGTGCAAAAATAATGATGTATTAATGTCGTTTTTTTGACGTTAAAAATACGTCAAAAAACGACATTATTACGTCATTATTTTTGCACCAACCTAATATTAATAGCCAAAAGACCGTCATACGAGCAAATAAAAGTTAAGCTACAATTGAAGCTCTCTTTAAAGCTAAAATTTCTTTATAAACAACGTTTTCAGCAAGACATCTATGGTTCTTTTTGTTATTATGCTGTAGGCACTTGAATTTCCTAGTCTGCACAAAGCTAAATAGAGCTTGGCACTTCGACGTGTTGCAATGATTAAAAAGCTTGTTTTGCTAAATCAATCAGGACTGAGTAGTGTGTTCGATCCTGGCTGGATACTCCACAGTTTCGGCCTTGTGCCACATCTAAGCTACGACGTGATGTAATGGCTTAAATTTAACGATGAGCAGTGAGCTCGATTTCACTGGGTTATATTCAGGTCTTTTTATCTAAGATACGCTTAGAAAATCCGACTTTTTTTTTATCATTTCCCCACCCCCAAGCAAGGCTATAAAGCATCTAAGGCATTATTAAGGGGTTACTGAGTGCTATAGAATACGAGAAAGATACTTTTATGGAGGGGGACAATAAAAGAAAAAGAATTAGGAAGACAGAAGATAACGATTGAAATTGCATTTAGATTTTAAAGATCAAAGTGACTCTAAAAAGAGAGCCCGATAGAAGAAACTGTTAGCATAGAACTTACGGTTGCATTTTAACCTTTTCTATATATATATATATATATATATATATATATATATATATATATATATATATATATATATATATATATATATAAAACAATTCGACCTGGTTCTCTGTCAAATCGGTAAAGGCACGTCAAGCTAAATGATATATAGGATACATCGAATCCTGTCGGAGGACAAATATTTTCTGTAAAAATTTCTCGGACATTCAGGCCGGTAAATGTTGTTTAATACTGTTTAAATACAGAGAATTTACTTAAATATTAAATATTATGTCTTAAAGTAATTGTCGGACTTTGTCCATTTCATAATGGTGACGTCATATATATATATATATAGTAATTAGGAAAAGACCTGAAATCCATTTTCGGTAATAAATTTATTGATGAATATAGGAACATTCATCTCATCAGACTGATTACATTTTCTGAAGTGGAATCAATATATCCAGACAGATAGATATACAAACATAAAAAAGAAAAGAAATATCAAAAAAAAGAATACAAGATGAAACAATAGCAAAAATAAATTGACCTAGAAAAGTTTTCTTGTGGGCTTTACACCAAGAAGAGAGACCAAGATAATATAACAGGTGAGGGAAGGTAAAGAGATAGGAAGGTCCAAATTAACGGAATTACAACAATGTGTCGAACAAAGTTCAAAAAAGGAGGCAGTTAAAGTGGTGACTGTACAAATGGCATCACCATCATCATATAATACGATCAACATCACATAATGCTAATAATACTGATAATAATAATATTAAAAAAATAATTTTATAAATTATAAGCAAAATATAAAATATAAATATATACATATATATATATATATTTTTTTTTTTTTTAACATTGTGCTAAGCAAGGCGTGAAGCCACTAGGATGCAGGGGTTGCGGA